CACTCAAAGTCTCCGGTGTTGTCTTCTCTAATTGCATCAAGTATTTTTGAAGATCGATGCGGTTTTAAGTGCTTCCTTTCGCGTGTCCGGTTCCAAAGGTATTGAATCGTCATCTTCTTCATCCTCAATTGAACCCCCAATGAAATCAGCCACAATTTCTTCTAACGTGTTGCGATACATTCATCATTTTCACCTGGATACTCCAACAAATGACTTACATTCATAAATTAATCATACAATGAATGTACATAATAAGAAATACCTCTTTAAATGAATAATTAATAATTTATCAATTAATTAATAACTACTATAAATTAATAATTTTCACGGTCCCGACTTTATTAATTTATAGAGGTTATATTGTACACGAGGCTGAAGACATGTCCCCCTTTCCACACTTAGCTACACTAGCATTCTTACTAGAAACACATATGGCTTGGGCTTGTTATGGCTTCTTGATCTCAACTGTCATCACACGGCTTGTGGTTAATGACATGCCCTCCATGCTATCCTTAGACAACAAATATGGTATGCTATTGGATACACCATTTTGTTCACCTTTCTTGAGATCAACTTGCCCCCAACCTGACACTCGCCTTTAATTCGTCGGGTGGTAGGCTTCAAATCCCTCCTTGCTGCCCCCATAGCGGTTTGCATCCACCATACCCATTGAGTAAGGGTGGAAATGAGGGTGGGCAAGGTTGTGATGGTAGTTGATCGAGATTGACTGGATCTCCACTAGACTTCCCCTTACGAGGTGACATACATGATCTTGACACCAAGACATTTTCCTGTATAACTACCTGCACAAGCGGTTGCTCCATGTGAGTGGTGAACGTGTGAGTGAGATTCTCGTCATAACAACCGTGTTGAAAAGGTGATTGACTTGTCACTAGAGGCGATGAGTTTTCTGACCATGGTTGAGTAGTTCGGCCACTGGAGTCTAGAATACTCGTATCTCTAGTAGCAATGCTTGATGGTGGATCTACACCATCTTTTGCCAAAACCTTTGATCTCAACACTGGTTTTATCAAAAGTTGGCGAAACTCCTTAAAATTATTTTTATTTACTTTGCAAATCTCATCCAATTATCCAAACGCCAATTTAGGTGAGTATGAAAAATAATCAAGTTGAGATACAATTTGTTTTCTGTATCCTACCATAGGCTCCTCCATTAATTGTATTTCTACCACCAGCAACTGGTGGAGAGACAAGGTGGTGGCAGTTACACCCAAACATAGGGCCGATGATGGGCGACTTCTTGGTCGACCATTGTTTCCAGCATCACTTTTTGCTAATTCTCCAAGATTATACCTGTCAATAGCTCCTTTACAAACCCAAGCGAAAGATCACCTTCTTGTTATCTTAGTTGTGGATCCATCAAATCAATCACACAGGGTCCTTTCAGGTGTGCCCATTTTTTTCCAACAAGGAAAACTTTGGTGTTTGATATCAATGAATTGCACCTTAACTTCTTTGGAGAACGACAATAACACGGTTCAAACCTCTTCAAAAAATGTTCAAACAAGAGTTATGATATTTTTGTATGGCTTTTTGGAAACAAGCTAAGTTAAATTACTCTACTCCTATGGTGGTTTAGTGAGAGCTTCAGAAACTAAAAGCTACGACTATGATTACATTGCAGAGAAAGGATAAAATTTGACATGTTGTGTCAAATGTTTGGTTGTGGAACTCTTGTTTCATCTTTGTTTCTCCTATTTATAGCCATCATTTGCACCCATCTTGTAACCGTTGCTCCACTGCTTGGTGCTTAATGTAGCCCGCTTGACACCATAAGCACCTTGCTTGCCTGCATACCACTTGGTACCTTGCTTAACAACTTCACTTGGCAGGCAGCTACCTTGTGCTGTGGAGGTATCTCGCTTGACACATCTTTACGTTTGATGTCTCATGCTGACCACCCTTGCATGACGTCGTGCTCAAAACCAGGGTGCTTGGGGAGTTGATGGATGCACACAGACCCCCTTGGGATGGCATCATGCTTGGCACCCTGGTGCTTGGTAGGTGGGTACTTGGGATACCCATGTTGACCCTCCTTGCATGATGTCATGCTTGACACCCTGGTGATGTGTGGCTAGGGGTGCTTGACTGCCGGATAGGTGAGTGATGCGAATCTTTCTTTCTTCCCCATTACATCTAGGGGTACTCGTGATGGCTCTTGTTGCACGACATTATGCTTAACAGTCAAGTATGTAGCATGATTGGTAGGTGGGTGCCTAAGTGGTTGATGTCAAGGGGGTGTGTATTGAGGCACCTTGCATGAAGACATAGATAGCCCAAAATTCTATCCCTCATGCCCAATTTAAACCAATTTAATGGAAGGTTGTAGTATTCTCTTATGGTTCTTGTGGGAAGAACGCAATGCCATTTTTGGACTTGCCACAAGCTCGTTCAGAATGAGATAGTCCTGCGAGCCATATACGCACATCAGTCTCGAGAGGTGGTAGATTTAGCTGAGCTTGTCCCAAAAAAGTGTCAACGACCGAAGATAGGACAAGTGTCTCTCAACTCTGATGAGACCATTTTTCCCCGAAGGGTGGAGTGGACTGGGTTTGGTGGCTTGGGGTGGCAATGCCAAATTCCTACTTGCCGCAACAAAATGCGTTCGAGGAGTATCGAGTGTGGAGCTGGCAGTTGCACTGCCATCTAAGCTAGGAGTGAAAATGGCATCCCGAATTGGGAGAGTGATTGCATGCATGATGCTGATTCACAAAATGCATGATTCAGAGAGTGACTTAACAGAGATGGGAGTAGTTTGTAGAAGCATAAGCCGAGGCCTGCTGCAGTTGGGCAACGGATAATGGAGGCATATCTCGAGGGTAGCAAATGAGGCTACATATATTATGGCTCGATCTGAGACTCATCGGGACAAGAGTAGTGTGGTTAGATAGACCGCCAATTTATTTTGATTGATCAATTGAAATGGGATGATGTAATAATGATAGTTGATTAATACGATTACAAATTTCCCATAAAGAAATTATAAATACCAATTGGCATGATATTTTTTTGTTATTTTATTCATATAATACTGGTCGAATGCTAATAGTGGATTTTTTGGTCGGACTATAAGTACGGTATGGCAAACCATGTTTTTACAACTTTGACGCTATTTGACCCAAATTTTGGTAAGGTCCTCCACTCCATTTTGGGAGATGGTTCTTCAGGGGAATCCAACGATCCACATCATAAGCGCACTTACTTAATGTTAAGATATGGTTAGAGGAGTAGATAGTGGATTGAGGGGCCTAAACTTCATTAATTGTGCTGGCAAGTGGGATTTTTGTGTCTAACAAAGTTTAACTTACACATATTTACATACATGTTGTATGTGTATATTTGGATTGAAAAAATCATATTTCATATATGTGGTATGTGTATTTGTCATTTATATAACTTATATTCAGAATCAGCAGAACACATATTAGATAACATATTCGTATTGAACAAGAAACATATTCGGAATGAACAAAATCATATTTAATATATGTGATGTGGGGATGAGATACGGTGACAACCCCCTAAGGGGGTTGTGAGATTTACAACCAACTTTGTAGCCATCAGATACGTTCTCTCCTGTCTCTTTCTTCATTTTTTAAATCAATGGTTATGATTAAACCAAAGGCAATTTCGGAAGGGAAAACTTACCACATGAGATCCTTTCTATTTTCCATATAAATACTCTTTATTAACAACAAAAAACCCCAGACCCTCCCCCCAATTTCCTGCGTCTCCCTCCTCTTTCCCTCTCACCTATCTCTAATAAAAATCCCTAGTCGTCAAGAGCTCTATCATCGACCTCCATCATCGTCGACCTCAATCACCACGCAGACCTCCATCATCGTTATCGCGGCCGCCTTCCTCCCGCTGTCCTCCTCACGCCGACGTTGTCCCCGCCGCCCTCGCTGCCCTTGTCACCCTAGCCGCGTCTGTCGCCTTCTTTACACCACCGTCGCCTCTGCCTCCCCCTTCTTCTGCCTCTCACCACCTCCCGTCTTCATGGCGCCGCCACGAGGTCAACGCCTCTCCCCTGCCTTTCCCTTTCCTCATCTCCTAATTTTCCCCCCAAATATATGATTTTTCAGATTCAAGATCTGATTTTTTTGTGTTAGTCTTTAGTGGTACGCTACCAGTGATACTAGTACCAATCAGAGGTAGTGGTAGGCTACCAGTGGCACTAGTACGTTACCAGTGGTAGTGGTGCGCTACCAGTGAGCGCTACTATTGGTAGTGGTATGCACCAGTGGTACCGGTACGCTATCAGTGGTAGTGGTACTGGTACGCTACCACTGCTCATTGGTATCGTACCAGTACCACTAGTAGAGTACCAGTACCAATGGTAGCTTACCAATACCACTGTACGCTAGATGAAAATCACTACCACTAATGCACTCACGAAGTTGTACTTTTTTGCAAGTGGCCGGAGTGAGTCTGATTGAAGGTTGTCACCGGGAAAAAGTCTGCCGGTCGGAGTAAGTTTGGCGGTCGGAGCAAAGAGGCAGCTGGAAAAAGTAGAGAGAGATATAAGTGTATTAATTGTAAGGTTTTTAAAAAAAGCATGTATCTAATATGAGTTTTTTTATTCCCAATATGTAATTAATACAAAAAAATTAATTAATTTTTTTGTTATACCCAAATTACCCTTGGTTGTAAATCTCACAACCCTCTAAAGGAAGTGATCCCATCCCATGTGATGTGTATTCTTCATTTCCACAATTTGTATTACCTCAATTTCTACTATTTGCCGGCTATTTATTAGACCGTGTGTCCTAATTTCCGCTATGTATCTCTTAACCCAATCTGAATCGTTAATTAAAAGAGATTTTAATGTGGACCATTGGATGCCAGCAAAGAATGATCATCAAGAGTTAAGAGTGGGCGGTGAATCATAACCTGCTGCTTTGGCCTTTGGGGTTGGCAGATGAGCCAACACGGCACACGTTAAAAGGAAGGGAAAAAGTTTCTAAAAGCACCCAAATGGCAGGAGGAAGGAAAAACGAAATAGCAATTGGCTTTTTTCGCGTACAGAAGTACTAGTTCCCCTGGAAGGAAAACAATCAAAACAATACAGTCAGTAATTATGAAACAAAAGGAAAATCAAAACCAAAATCTTTCACAAAAATCGAAATCGGATCTCTCGCTCTCTCTCGGTCCGTTCTTTTCTACCACTTAACCCCGACCGCCACGGCGCCACCGGGTTTCCCCCACTTTCACGGTACATTTCCCCTTCTCTTTCCACTTCTGCCTCCACCCGCCGGGTTTATTCTTCGCCGTCGCCTCCTCGCCGGACCGATCTGAACTTCTACTTCCCAAGCAAGGGAGCTTCCTTGTGCTGCCGGCGGCGACGCGATCCGTTTCGTTTCCGGTACTTTCTTCCGCGTATTCTGCGATCTTGTTGGTTCCTCCGTCGTTCTCGCCTTATCCATCGGTCTCCGTTCCTGTTCATTTTCCCCGTCGTTAATTCAATTTTGCGAGTCGGAATCAAGCCACCGGAATTACGACCTGTAAGACGAGGGGGATCGGAGAGGGAGAATAAAAATGGCGGAGGAGAAGCCGAGCAGCAAGGTGGAGAGTGAACCCAAGGAGACAGTTAATGTCGCTGCCGATAAGACGAAGCGCAAGGGGATTATGTCTAGGGTTTGGAATACTATTTTTAGACTACACGGTGGCGATGATTTTGAGAAGCGGCTGCAATACATTTCTAAGGAGGAAGCTGCTGTATTAACTAGAATGAAGAAGCGATCTCTCACTTGGAGAAAGATGACCAGGAACCTTATTGCCTTCTCGGTTCTATTCGAGGTTCTTCCTTTATCTATCTCTCGTTCTTTTTATCGCCTTAATTCCGCCCGAGAAACTTGGATATCTTATTATCGTCGGGCTTCATTTTAACTTTCATGTTTCAATGTTTCCCTTGTTATGGTTGTGAAATGTGAATTCTTCTCGTAATTCAGTTCATTGCGGTGGGCTATGCTATCATGACCACAAGAACAGAGGATTTGGATTGGAAGATGAGAGCATTTCGAGTTTTGCCGATGTTTCTCTTGCCGGCTTTCTCCTCTATTGCTTACTCCGGTTTTGTAAACTTCACAAAGATGTGTAAGTGTCTCAACCCATTCCCCGGGGTCATTTCTTCAATGTAATCTGTAGCTTCTTTCGCCTGCCTGAGCTTCTGGAATTTACTTGTAGAGAGAATACTTCTGTAATCCTGGCTAAGCTGATGTTGTCATTATCGCTGAACAGAGCGTTGCATTGTTAAGATTCTTTGTGATACTGCAGAGTACTTCATGAGTTCATGTCATAGTCGCCGGAGTCATTTAATCGGTGAAAGTTTTCACCTGGGTTTAAACTTCACATTCAAGTGTAGGACAAATGGACAATTCAGGATCTCTGCCAACTTTCTTGTCTAATTATACTGCTGCTTAATGAGATTGTTTTGGTAGTGGACTTCAAATCCTCTCATCATTTGCATTTAGCTACTGTTTTAATGTTGTGATTATGAATCTCTCTCTCTCTCTATTTTGAATCCTCCCATGCTAAACTACCTATAAAGCATTTGAAATATATGGGTTTCAGATGAATGACTTTGTGTTGTCTGAAATAGTGTTGGGTAATTACGGAGTATGGGGATATTAGGGACAGGGTATAAGAACCTCATATGTATATTTCCCAGCTACTCTTTCTAATCTTGAATGGAAAATTGGAGAGCTAAGTGTACCAAAAGCACTCTAGTAAGGGAGCAGTATGTGAAAATAGACAACATAGGTACTGGAATTTCGTCAATCAATGCTTATTCTGCCTTTTTGTATCTTTTGATGACTGAATTCTGTCTCTGACTCTTCTTTCAATGACTGAAATCTGTCTGTTATTTTCTTGACTGGCATAAACTGCTTTGGTACTTTGCAGGTAACTGCTCTGAAAATTATGTTCATTCATGTCATAGTTTATGAGGTCCAGTCTGTCATTGGATTGTTGATCCTCCAGCCTCAAGTAATTTGTTCTAGACTTCTAGTGCTAACTTAAGCCCCATATACTGATATTTATCACATGTTTTTAATTCAGGATGAATCCTTGAAAGATCATTTCTGTTTTGTTGTTGTTGATGGTCTATTTTCTGGTTGGCAACTGTGTCTTGTGTGTGACTGCTTCTGTATCTTCTGGTTTCCTTTCTTTTGATAAAAAGGGAATTCTCAATCATTAAATAAGTTCTCTTCGGTTCATCATACAGGTGACCGCAGAGACCAGAAAACCCTAGAGAGGCTTCGTGCCGAAAGGAAACAAAAAATTGATGAGCTGAAAGAGAAGACAAATTATTACACCACTCAGCAACTCATTCAGGTAATCAGGAAGTTTTACTTAAATTATCCATGCTTGCTATATGCTTTAGTAAGAGCCTTATAATCCTTCAGGTTTTCCCTTTCAGTCATATGTATTGTTGATGATTTGAAGAATCATCTTTGAATCTTGAAACACTACCCTCTCTCTCTCTCTCTCTCTCTCTCTCTCTCTCTCTCACTCACTATTTCGGGGACTGCATTTGATCTTTTATTATCTGGTTTGAAGTTTTGCTTGGATATCAGATCATTAGCTTGTATTACTGGTTTCCCCGCTTCATTTTTGTTGGCTTTGGATTTCAATAGTTATGTACATTGTAGATTTGACATGGCCAACTTCAGGTAGACTAGAACCAAAGAACCAGCTCGTTGGACTTTGTGCAAGTAACCAATTCGTTGATGTTCTTAGAAGTTATTTAATTATCAAGTTAAGTTAATTGTTTGGTGTTGTAGATGAGATAATGTAGTGTAGAACTAGAATGCCCTTTATCTGGAATGGGACAATGCAACTTATGATGTCTCATGGCCGTAAGCAAGGCTGTGTGAACTGAGGAGAAGAAACCTGCTATAGACTTCCTCTCTGATAAGCTGATATCATTAGTTTTCATAAAGTTTATTATCTTCAAGAAGGCCCCTGACCTTTATTGTGTTAAAGTTGCTATACTACGTGTTTTCATAATACTATTATTGTCTATTTGTTCTTTCTAGAGATATGATCCAGATCCAGCAGCTAAGGCTGCAGCTGCAAGTGTCCTAGCATCTAAGTTGGGTGCTGAATCAGGGTTGAAGTTGTACGTCGGTGAAGAATCAGGGTTTACTGAATCCACAGGAAAAAGCAGAGATGCTGAGGTTGTCCAATCCAGTGGTCTTCGAAACAGAAAACAAGGACAGGCTAGATCCAGAAGTGCAGGGAGCACTCCGGTGCATCCTTCCAATGACAATTCACCGCGTTCCATGCTAAGTGAAGGAACCCTTTCTGAGCATGAACCGGTTGTTGTTGAGCATCACAACCCCCAGGCAGCTCCTGTGAGTGATGGGGGATGGATAGCTCGGTTGGCTGCGTTATTAGTAGGCGAGGATCCAGCTCATTCTTATGCACTGATATGTGGCAACTGCCATATGCACAATGGTGAGTATTTCATGCCACTCCTCGATGCTTTTATATTCGCTCCCTTTTCAAAGTTATCATTTAGCGAAAACAAGCACGCCCATCAAAGAAGTTCTGAGGAAGAAACATTTGTCTGCTGTTGTAATTTCTTTTCCTGTAGGGCTCGCTAGGAAAGAGGATTTCCCATACATTACTTACTACTGCCCGCACTGTCACGCCCTCAATCAGCCTAAGCAATCAGGGACTGTTTCTGGACTCAGTACCCCTAGTTTGAGTGCTTTGAAACCTGGGGTTATAGTTGAAGAAATCAATGACGAAGCTGTTGATCCTGGCTCCCCAACAACAGACAGTGTGGTTATGAGCAACAGCGGCGTTAAAGGTGCTGCTGCCCCTGAGATTCAGGAACAAGCTGGAAAGGCAGCGGCCGACGAATCAGCGAGCTAAATATTTGGATGTATATTGTCAATGGAGATCAGATTTTGTTTTGCTTTGACCAGCTCCTTCTCTGTCTCTGTCTCTCTCTCTGTCTCTGTCTCTCTCTCTTGCGGGATAACATGAGCTTGATTGCTGCTGAACTTGTAATATGCTTGGCTTGTGTAATAGAACAACCCTTGAGCTTTTCTTTTGTGAATTTCTTTACTATGTGATGACATTTAAGTCTCTATACACACAGTTAGGTCCACCTCGCTCTTTATTTTGGGCATCTCGTCCGTTTCCTTAGTATCAGTGCTCTGGCTTCTACACATCACATACCCAGCTGAAAACATTCCCAATGAGTTTTGGTGTCGGGCTGTCAGCGACACAAGCAACAATCCCAATGAGTTGACGTACATCAGTGAACAAAAGGTAGTAGCATAGAAGAACCAAAAAACTTCCGATGGCGGGGTGAAGCATTCACCGCTTTTGACAACCACAATGAAGTACTTCACTGTTTTGAGAAAAGCCCAAAACATTTAAGATTTTTTCTCCATAAAACGTGTGTACTTTGAGAAAAATTCAAAACATTTCGTCGGTGACGAGTAATATATGATCATCATCGGATATGTGATTGCTGTGAATAGCAGGGCTTGGGTACAGAGATAAGTGACTTGTACAGCAACCAGTCACATGGATTTGCTGCCAATGTTAGATAGTTTGTTTTTCACCAATTTTCTAACAAAACCGAGCAACATGAGGACTTCTGAATGCTTCTTCGTCTTTACCTAGTTATATATACCTGTGCAAATGAGAAGGAAGAAGTGGAGTACATCCCTGCAAACCGCTCCTCCCTGTACATCATCACGGTTAGCTCTGTCACTGTATATTGAAGCACCGATGAGCCGTTGTAGGAAGATCATCCCAATGTACAGAGCGAACTAAACATGTTGAACCTCTCTGGTTTGCAAGGAGAAGGTTTTACTTGCATTTTCTAGCCTTGGTCCCAAAACAACAATCCAAATATCATATCATAGTTGGAGCAAATGCATGGAGCAGTCACATGAAGTTATACCCAGAGCTCCTCTAATAAGATCAGTGTTGTTTCCATACAGAGGCAAGCTTTGAACTGGCCCCATCCGTTCTGCGGGAATCCGGTAGTAAGGTGGAGATCTCTTGAGCCGGGTGGTGGATTGCTTATTCTAATTGCTGGGACTTTTGGGACGAGGGTCGATAGCCTTAAATAATTAGCTAATTCCCAAATTAACCCTTTGGGTTAATTCCATGAATATTGTTTTTTTTTTAATTTACCACGAATATAGTGGTTTTAAAACTATTTACAGGAATATTGTGTTTTAAGGAAGGAAGTTGGCGACGGCGCCCGAGACTCAGATATTCGAGTTTTAAAGGCTGTTGATAGCGACGGCGCCCCAGTCTCGAGCTTTGGCGCTTTCTGAAATTTCAAAAATTTTAAAAGGCGCCAAAGCCCGAGACCTGGGCGCCGTCGCTATCAAGTGTATTTTTTTTACCCCCTTCCTCCCCCTCCCTCTCGCACCACACCAGACCAGACCCATCCCCATCCCTCCCCTCTCCACTACTCCTCTCCATCCCAGCGCCGAAAAGGAGCGGCGACGCCGAGAACCAGAGCGGCAGAGCCCCAGTCCCAGGCGGCGGCGCGCGGCACAAGGCGACGACGCTCCATCTATAGCGGCGGCGCTATGTCAGACGACGAGCAGGCCCCCGGCGGCAGAGGAAGAGGCCGAGGCCGGCGTGGCGGCGGTGACGGCGGCGCCGGCGAACGTTACCGGAGTGAGTCCTGCCGGCGGCGACTTTTTTTCCGGCGACAATTTTTTTTTTTTTGTGTTCTAATATTTTTTTTTTCCAGTTCCTAGGCTTATCGATCCTTGTTCGATGAGACCACCACCTACGACAATCGATACTGCTCCGAATGATCCGGAACTTCTTTGGGGGCATGGTCACCATCGGATTGACGCAGTTTGGGCAAATGAGGTAAGTTTTTTAAATTAAATTATTTCTATAGTTTTTTTTATTAGCTGTATAATAGAAATAGAATAGAATAGAATAGAAATAGAATAGAATAGAATAGAATAGAATAGAATTAAATTAAATTAGACGAATAGAATTAAATTAAGAATAAAATTAGATTAAATTAAGAATATTATATTAGAATAAGTTTAGTTTAGTTTAGATATATAAATATAAATATTAGGTGAATTGAATTGAAGGAATTGAATTAATATAGTTTTGTGCATTAATTAATTATAGGCTGGTGATCGACCATACCACATTCGTCATACGGGCAATTTAGTTCGATACAATCCACTGTACCTGCCGTATCTCGTCGATGCCGGCTTGTCTAGTGTTCTGCCACTAGCCCCTCTTACCGGTGATCCGGGTTTGATTACTGCGCTCGTAGAGCGTTGGAGACCCGAGACATCGACATTTCACATGCCGTTCGGTGAGGTGACGATCACCCTAGAGGACGTTGCGACACTCACCGGATTAGCGATCGACGGTGATGCCGTCATAGTAGACATACCAGACGAGGACTGGTCGACTATGTGTCTTCGACTGTTAGGACAGGCTCCTACTGATCTTGGTGGCGGCGTCATCCGGATTACTTGGCTCAGGGAGACTTTCGATGAGCTACCGCTTTCTGCATCACCAGAGACGACAGAGCAGTATGCTAGAGCGTATGCGCTGTCTCTGATGGGAGGTGTCTTGTTCTCCGATCGGTCTGGAGGTTCAGTTCACCTGCAGTATCTACTTTTGGTAGAGGATTGGCGCAGAGCGGGGAGGTTTGCTTGGGGAGCAGCTGTGCTATCCTACTTGTACCGTGAGATGGGTAGATCGGCGCTGCAGATGACAGCATCTTCTTCACTGGGTGGTGACTTTGGTGGATGGGCCGCCTTGCTGATGCTCTGGACGTGGGAGCGGTTTCCTCATACATCACCACTACATGCGGTGACGGGTGCGCAGATTACTCAGGACGTAGTGCCACGTGGCATTCGGTGGCTTCCGGCCCAGACCCGTCAGCATGGAGATCTGTTCTACTTGTACAAGCTGTGGTTTGACGAGTGCACGACATTCGTGGTTAGTATATAACATTTCATTTTATAGAATAGTTTTAATTGATTTATTATAGATTTAGGAGTAATTATGTGACCAATCCTTGTGTGCAGTGGCGTCCGTACTTTCATAGAGGTCAGGACTACAGCGGTACTGTGATCCAGTCCCACACGTTTCGAGCAGTAGTTCCGCTGATCTGCTTCTCATCGCAGATGTGGCATCATCCAGATCGCGTGCTAGGACAGTTTGGAATGGTTCAGGACCGGCCTCATCCTCCACATTCCGCGGCTGAGATTAGATTTTTTCTTCGTGTGGGACAGCATGGACCATCACGTGGCCAGCAGTTCTTACAGGCAGCCAGCGAGTCGATTGAGTTGTGGAACCGTCGACATGAGTTCGTAGCGCAGACGAGCTACAGTGACGTGGAATTAGCTTACCACTCGGAGCATCAAGAGTGGTATAGAGATGTCACTAGACGTTCAGGCACACGGAGAGTTGCTGCACTGAACGCAGCGGTGAGTTTTTTTAGTAATTAAAATTTGTGTTTTAATTGTTTTTAGATGTGTGGAATTTCTGATATTTTCCATTTAAATTGCAGTACGACTGCATGGAGACCGTTGAGCAGGGTTTACGTGATGGGATGAGAGCAGGAGGGCTATCATATGACCAGATGGCGGAGTATGTTGACCAGATATCGAATGACCTGGTTGAGTCGAAGGAACTCTTACCCAATCAATCACCGATGTTGGCATTTTTCTCTTGACCACCCGCAAGAATGTCTGCAAAAAAACATAGGATTCTTCCCAATTTCCATGCAACTTCTCCAATGCTCTTTGTTTCCCATACCAAGCCTTCTTGTAAGTAACTTGCATATTAAACTTATCTTTCAACTCGGCTTGCACAGTTAGAACACTCAGATTTGGTTGGGCACGTACCAAATGTTTGACGGCCTCAGATATCACGTCGACATCAAGATGGCGATGATCCATCGGTTGAGTCGTACTGCTACAAGTATGCACCAACTCGACCTTTCTCACGCTCTAATCGCCTCCCACATCTCGACATCCAAACCGCACCATCCAAGGACATTTGTCCTCATTGTGCATCAAACATCTGATCTTCCAGATTGAAGGTGACGACTCCACCACGTTATACTGAAAGTTGCGTTGTAGTGCATAGTGCTTAATCGCCACCTGTGCAGCTTGTTTCGAGTGAAATATCTGCCCCTTGTAGAATTCTCCATCAAAACCACCAACAGTAGACCCTGGAATTACGCCATATGAATTAGCATATGATAATTCCTCGTCCTCTTCATTACCCTGCAAGTAAAATATATGGAGGATAATTAGGTAGTTCTCCTCCCTCCCTCCCCGTCGTCGTCGTCCTCCTCCTCCTCCTCCTCCTCCTCATCTTCCTCCTCCTCCTCATCTTCCTCCTCTTCGTCATCATCGTCATCAAAGGCAGGATCGGATGGCATGCTCCATGTATCATCACCGTCATCATCGTCTTCCTCTCCATCCCGATCCTCACTGAGCTCAGCATGTATCTCAGCACCCAAACAATAAGAATTTTGTGCCATAAAATTCCATAGCACATTTAAGCTATCATCATTGACAATAGGCATTGCATAATGAAATAAAACACCATTGGAACACCATTCTTCCATTCTGGAAGACAGTAGGTGAAACCTGTAATCACAACACTATCTTGTACTGTTTCGTCTCTAATCCGTATTCTCCGAATTAGATGATCACAAAGTTTCTGATAGTTCACCCTGGATGGAATAGTCATCTGGAAACTTAAACCACCAACAAAATGGACACCCAAATTGTCTTCTACTTTCTCTGATCGCCACCGAACAGCTAGTTCAAATCTCCTAAAACCACTACATTAAAAACAAACTCTAATTACTAACTGGACAAAATCATTATGATGAATACATGGGAAAAAAAAATTACGACTCTTACCTGTTATTAGCCATCTTCCCAGCAACCAGACAGCAACACCAGAGCTTCTCTCACAACTTCTTTCAGTTTTTTGGTGATGAAGAACCGAAGGAAAGGTGCAGTATATATATGAATGGGTGGTGCTGGAGTGGGAAAAAATGGCAGCGACGAAGCCCCAGTCTGGGGCGCCGACGCTTTTTCTTTCTCAAAAGCGCCAAAGCCCCAGTCCGGGGCGCCGCCGCCGAGTTTTTTTTTTTTTAAAGCACCTAGCGGCGGTGCCCCGGACTGGAGCTTCGGCGCTTTCAACATA